GCTTATTTTATTTGTTCTTGAGAGAAGTAGATGGCTTATTTCGTAAGGTTTCTTTCATAGAAGGGTAAAATCTCTTATATTTATTATTTTATATATTAGGTTGGTGCAAAAATAATGACGTAAGAATGTCGTTTTTTGACGTTAAAAATACGTCAAAAACGACATTATTACGTCATTATTTTTGCACCAACCTAATAATTAAATAAATCGGCAATTTTAATCGTTTTTAGGTTGCGGAACGTGTCTATAGTAGTCTATGTGTTTCCACTAGTTTACTATTAAGTTCTTTCTTGAGTGAATTCTTTCTAATATTATTTTACCTAGTTTACCTTCAGTTGGGTTTAGAAGGTTCTTTGACGTAATGAAAGCTTCTGAATTAGTTATGCAATTTATTCGGTCGTCTATTTGTAATGTTTGGGTGATTTTTAACTTTCATCTTAATAACTTATTCTGTGCATTTTTGGTGCTTTTTTCTGTATGATTTAGTTATGTTGTACTTGATTGACTTGTTTTGTTTTGTGGGGATTGGCTTATATGAATTTCAAGTTTTTTGTCTGCTGCAATGAATACGCTAGGTGAATATTAAGCTCCTGGTAAACAGTAGAGCACTTTCGTTACATTTAAAACCTATCATGGTCATCGAAAATTTTGCCTCGTTTGCTCCCTTAAAAAACATACTCAACTGACCACCATCAAACTACAAACTAATATTAATAAAAAAAAAAATAGAATGCTTCATAAAAAGGATGAAATGGGAATTGCGTTGCTTTTTCAACACAAATAACAATATTTATTATCCGAATTGCGATGAACAGAAAACGACTGACTCATACTGGATATCGGACAAGAACTGCAGTTTCGTCAAAGACACTGAAACAAGGAATACTATATTTATGCCCCGAATGATATCAAGAAGAGCAATACAAATACAGAATGAGATTTACCAGAGTTTTTATAGATCATGCTAAAGCGTTTGATAAAACATATCAAAATTAACGTTTATAACTGCTATGTAACCTAGACATATCTGGGAAGCATATTAGAATGAACAGTGTATACTCACAGAAAACCTCCTGCATACTGATAGAAAATACGTTCAGTAAATATACAAGTAGAGAAAAGTATGTAAGACAAGGATGTGTCTTCTCGCCGGACATTCAACCTATACAATGAGGCAATTTAGAGAAAATTGGAAGTTCTACGCGAATTCTTTTTTGGCGGCCACAATCTTTACAACATAAGATATGTCGACGGCACAGCTTTGGTAGCAGACACAGAAAGGAAAACTACAAAAAAAAAAAAAAAAAAACTAGATAAGTTAGTGAAGCAAAGCAAGAAGCAATGACCAAACAAAATTGCAAGAAGACAGAATGCATGGTTGTTAGTAAAACTAACAGCCCAAAATGCAAATTACGAATTGATGATACCGAAATCAAACAAGTACAACAATTTAAATATCTGGGAAATATTATTGAGCAGACACCATGAAAAAAGCAAGTCTGCGTAAGGTCAGAAAGAGATATACAAAGAAAACAACATTTTTGCTTGCCTTTCAAACCAGTATTAAGCAAGTTCCTGTTTACATAGCGAGAAAAGGGAAAAGAAGAAAAAGCAATAAATGGCTCCATATGAGCGCAGGGAACATGAAAGAAGAAACAACAATGCTGAGTGAGAGATGCGCGGAGAAAAGCAGAATTTTTGTTGCTGGCATCCTAACTCTATAAAGGTGGACGTATTTTCTCTTGAAGTGCTAATGTTTTGGGTTTTTTTTTTTTACCTCATGAGGTTAGGACCAAAGACTTGTCTATTCAAAAGAATTAAAGCCTTCGTCATAGAGCCGAAGGTATTTAGACGAGAAATGGATATTTAGTAAATTTGCAAATGTCTTTTATTGCTTGTCCTGGTTTATTTCGTACGATTCTGTACAGAAGTGTATATAGGGAACGTTACCTTTTTTTTACGCCTTTTCATAAAGATTTAATCTATGGAAATATTTTTATCCATTCTAAAAACTCGGATGCAGCCATATGACGACTACTCAAAATTTTCTTATTACCCAATTCAGACTTGGAGAGAAAAGGAGAAACTTGCAATGTTTAATTTTTGTGATTAGAAAATATAAAGATTCCATGCATTTATTCATTTCAATTCTTTAAGATTTTATTTTACATATTTAAAATTATTTAAGAATAGTTATGTAAAAAGTAATCTATCACTCTTTTTTTCTTTTTTTTTTTGTTACAATAACGGTTCAATTTATTTAATAAACGATCTAGTTACCTCGGAAGATTCAGAAAAATGAGAATAAATTATTTTTAAAAAGTTTCATCGTCAAAATCTTTGCCTTATTATTAAGAGGAATGATCAAAGAAAGGATTTTTTTATGAAAACTTTATTTTTAATACTTTCTAGAACCATCGAAAGTTTAGTTAAATATATTGGTTTTCTGGTATAATCGTGAATTCCATAATCTAGTACGAGAAATCTGAACATTCTTGCGGTGAAAAAGAGCTTGATTTGAAAATTCATGCAAAAGTCATATAATTGTTTGATTTTAATGACACTTTCTTGACTTATTCACAAATTAATTAAATTATTTTTAAACCGTTCTTTTTTTTAGAAAATCTTGGTAATGATATTATTTTTTTACATCTATTTAAGCCACCAAGAAAATTGTTTTTGCTGAAAAATGAAATTTATGTCGTGCTGACAGAATTTTTTTAATGTGAACGATTTTATCGGTTTATTGATAATCAAAAAACAAAACAAATCGTTCAGATCAGTTTAAATCCGACTTCAAATAAAGCAAAGTATATTTTAATTGGAAATATTAAATTTAAACTAAACTAAAATCTTCAAGAAAGATATTTTAATTAAATATTAAATCTTAGATATCGTTTTTCTTTCGCGGTTTATTTGTAGGGATGGACTTACTATTAAAGGTTTTTTTACGATTTCTGTCACCCACAAGGTGGCAAAAAAAATCAATTAGTTCAGACTAATGTACTTTCTCGATATTTTACAAGAAGAAGCTTCAGACAGAAGAATAATATTATCATTATGGCCAGAGAGAAGCCAAATATGTAACTGAAAATCAAAATCAAAGTAGATAGCAATGAATGTCATCGCTATTTTGATTCCAAGTATTGGTTTGGTTTGTTTTGTTTAACGGCAAATCAACCTCAATGGGTCATTTAATGCCGACAACTTTTTTCTTTTTCTGGTAATATTTTTGGTTTGTCAAAAATCCATTTCTGTTAATATTATTTTTTTCTCAAAAATGTATAGCAGGTAATATTATTTTTTTCAAAAACGTATAACTGGTAATATTTGTTTTTTTTCAAAAACATATAGCTGGCAATATTTTTTCTTTCAAAAACGCACAGATATCAACATTATTCTTTCAAAAACGTATTATCAGAGGTCCTGCAGTTGGACGTGGTTTGTCGTCTTACCCAGGACGCGGATGTAGTTTACCGTCATACTCAGGACGCGAATGTAATCTGATTGTTAACTATTTGCCCATAGCTGGGACCCTAACAGGTGCTACCATCCCGGCTCAGGGTGGACCTGGCAACACCAGCAATTAAGAGGTGGTTCTACGCTCGTCAAAACCACCTGATCAGAGGGCCTTGCTGTTGGACGTAGTTTATCGTCTTACCCAGGACGCGGATGTAGTTTATCGTCATACCCAGGACGCGATACCAAGTATTATTGAATTAAAATAACGATAACATGAAATATATACTCTACAAATTGTTCTGTTTCCCATATATGAACACGTAATCACCTACCTGTTATTCCGATTTTAACAATTTGATTCGAGCATTGATAAGGCACCAAACATCTCAGAACCATTTGAATTTCGTAATTTCTCTGAAAGCCTTTAGCCGACAATGAATTGATACAGCGATCAATCAATGAAAAGTAGCTTCGATTCAGTTGCATAATAGATCAGAAGTGTATTTTCTGGCATTAAAATTAATTCATATCACATTCCCAGAGGGAAGGGCGAATAATTTTCTGGTAAGAAGGGAGTTAGGCTCCACTGCCTCACATTCTGCCTTGGCAGTTGACCTGCATCATGGACTGCATGACCTAGTTCCCAAGTTACACTTCGACTCACACGCACACACACACACACACACACACACGCATATATATATATATATATATATATATATATATATATATATATATATATATATATATACAGTAACCCGGATATAAGAAACCGGATATGAGAAACCCGGATATAAGAGAGATTTTCTCTGGTCCCAAATTAGAGCCTGTATTAATGTATATAAAATAGAACAAACCCGGATATAAGAGAAACCCGGATATAAGAGACTTCTTATCCGGTTCCGACAACTCTCTTATATCCGAGTTACACTGTATATATATATATAATCGACGCTCCCGGCGAGTACGATGTATGAGGGTCAAGCAGATCGGTTGCAAGCAAACCGACAGCCCGACACCAGCACATATGATTGGATTATAGTGGTGAAGGCTTTGTGCAGAACCAACACAATTTTTAAAGGGCCTAATACAGACACCTGTTGCACTATGTGCCACAAGGTCCCCAAACAACCCTCCCCAGGTTTTGAATTCAGAGTTGTTCATCTCCTAGACCAGATGTCATCCAAGGTTAAAATCATTATTATCTCCAAAGAATTCTTATAATCTAAAAATATTTTCTGGGTCTAAATAAAATGTCAAATTTGATAAACCGTAAAAAAACAATCAACCAATTAAAAACAGTTCCATTTTAGAATATATATTTTAGGTGATTATTGTGGAATGATTCTGGATCCTTCTTGAACGATGGTTTCTTTAAAAACCCATCCGGAAGCGTCCATGTGTAAACTACGGCACCACATATATTCCCAATTCAATCATCGTCATCTTGGTTTTGTTGGCGTCACAGCCTGCGGTGGCGTTTCCCGCTTGCAGGTACATAGCCTTTACCGCAATCATCTGAACACTTTACAGTAACACGGGACCTGGTATTCCCTTCCGGTCACCCATCTACGTACTAACCAGGCTCAACCTCGCTTAACTTCGGCGATCGAACGAGAACTGGTATATCAACGGCTGGTTTTGTTAGTGCAAAGACAGTAATTACAGTGAAATGTACAAATATTCCACGGAGAAATAAACAGTTAGACTATTTGATTATATATTTGAATTTAATTAGGTTCATTAACTGTAATTAATTATTCAAACGCCGTTCATAATCGACGTTTGATCTGAACGTTATTAAAATATCTAATTATAGTCGTTCATTTTATTCGGCTCTCGACGTACTTCAATCGGGTTCCTTTTAATACTTCCGTCTTAAGATAATTACATCATTGTTGATCTTTGTCAACTGTCCGTTTCAAAACCAAAAGATATATTTATGACTTATTTAAAAAAAAAAATCAAGTAAAAAATACCGTTTGAATTTTTATGATGAAGAGTAATTTTCATCAAATTATAACTGTGCTCACTCATTTGTTCACACGTACGTAACGACCTGTCATTACCTCATAAATATTGAACAGTGCCGTTTTGATCGTGAAGAAAAGCAGAAAAGACATATCAGAGGCGTTGTTTGCTTTAAATTACTGTTATGGTCCGGTTCCATGTACCACGGTGATAGTCCAAGGTAGAACCAATAAAGAAGAACTCGAACACGTATGTGGAATAACACAGATATATTACAAACAGGAATATATACAGAGAAGAAGAAAGTGTTAGTACGAACAATCAGGTTTAGTAGTAATTGTCTGAACGCGACTCTGTTTCGGGCTGCCTCTGACTCGACTGACTGACTCGCCCTGACTGACTGACAGACTCCTGACAGACTTCACTCCAGACTTCAGACTGAATTCTAGACTTCAGACGGAACTCTAGACTTCAGGCGGAACTCACTCCAGACTTCAGACGGAACAGTATTTAGTCACCCCCACCCACGAGGGCATGATGTAGCACAAGGCCGGTTTAACGTGGGATCTCCGAGCCCGTAGGCTCGACCAAAAATATGCCCTTTGAACCCGTATAAACGGGTTCAGGGTCTGTTTACCTCCCCGAAAGAGACTCCGCCCTTTGGCGTAGCCTCGTTCGGGTTCCTCCCCGCACGAAGGCAGAGAGTTCAACCGATCAGCCGGTCGCCCGACTTCGGATTGAACTCCCTGCTTCCTCTTGAGGCGCAGTATTTATTACGTATGGGATAGTCCATTATGTTATTATGGGTAAAGTCCAATAACAATCACATGGTAGTTTTAGTTGCTTCCCATAGTTCTGCTTTGCTGTCTTATTGTTTGCCACTTTCATACAATTTCATCTTAACAATTGACAACAGATATTCAACCGGATTTAGATCGGAGCAGGATGGTGGCCATGAGAAGCGGCTTTGTCGTGGTTAAATAGACACTTCAGATTGGAAAAGCGTGATTAGGACTTGCACCAGTCATAGTAAATCTTGTTCACGTAATCGAAATATTTAGCACTGTTCAACTTAATATACCGTGTGTAACAGTAAAATTGTCCAAATCGTGTTGTAGCGTAGGGAAGGTTACTGAATAGAATAATCAAACGAAGGTTGGTAATGAACAATAATACTTAGGACAGGAACAACACATATAAGATTCCCCAGCGGTGCGTAGAAGAACTAGTCAACTGCTAGAATTGAGTTATGTGAATTCCACAATGAATCTCCAACTGAAGACCAACATACAGTATTTACTACTTAATTTATGCGAATGGGGACATGCCCATTACCGTCCGTAGGATTAAGCTCTGGACTGTTGTATCTTAGAAATAAATTAAAGACATCTTGCTGGAATTCTCCGGGGTTTGATCAATAAGAATATATAATTACTTTCCACGTTTAACAGAATTATCGAAAAGGAAAATGACAAATCATTATTAATTAATGAGGACCAGAAGCTCATGAAGGGTTGAAATTAAGTTCAAATATAGGCATAATATCCCGGGATCATATTCCAACTTATTCAAACCTCTTTCTAACCTTTTAACCTTCTGTCTTAGAGTAACAAGATGCTTCACAGGTTTCACGTACGGTTCAATTTTCAAGTCTTTTTTCACTGTTCTTTGGACTGTCATAGGTGAACGTCTCCTCTCACGTACCAAACGTTTTATGAACTGAGTTGAATCTTTTCCAATTGATCTCTTTAACTTTAAGTTAAAATGATGATCCCTCTTCATGTTGTCACCTCTTGATCCATTTTCCTCTCAACTGTTCCCTCTTTTAAAACTTATTCACTGTTCTCGTGGTGGTTCTTGAATGGTCTTTGCAGATGGAAGCCAGGTCATGAATGTTTGTACAATTACTGAAAGTCTGAATGATCTTTTATTCTGTTACTATTGCCCAGTTGTGAAGACAGTGGCGCTGACACAAAACGATTTTAACCTATTCTCTGTCTAGATGAATAACTCATAGAATTTTTCAACGATTCTTATGGCAGATGGTGTCAAGAGGGCTAAACGTCTGATCTGAAATCCTGGAAAAAAGAAAGCCAGTTAGTTTAGTTGTTTTTTTTTAATATAAAACATTTTGTGGTATAGACAATTATGCTTTTACACGATTTGGACAATATTTCTTTTACACTCGATATATATAATCGGTCTCTTTTACCCTTGAGCTTGGGGGAAAAGGTAAAAATTACACGGAGGCAAATCAGGTGAGTAGGCGGGTTACTCCAGCAAAGTGATGCTTATCAGTAGGATAGGAAAGTGTGTGAGACTCGAGGGGGTTAATTTCGAAGGGTAAAAATTTTAGTTTGTAGTTTGCATTTGATGTCATTTTTCTGTGACTTTTCTGACACATCTCGTAGAATGGCTCTATCAGAAACATTCCTCTTATTCGCGTTACATAGATGTTGCTCTAATAAAATATCCACGTGATAAAATTTTACCGGAATCTTCAAATAGAATTAATAGCGTTGAGTCCTTGTTAGATTTTATTTTTGAAACGGAAACTAATAATGCCTTACCTTTCCAAGATAGTATGCTAAATAGAATCAGTATCAACCGCCAACTAAACGCTTACAGACAATCTACCAACAAGAATGACGTGATAAACGATTATTTCCCCCACTGTAGAAGAATAAATTCGAGAGCAATTATAGGATTTTTTTCAGATCACTAAAATTATGCAGCCCTCAATATTTACATGAATAAGAAATATATATATTCAAGATTTTAAAGAATCTCAATATCATTACTTTTTAATTCAAAATGCTAAATGATATACATATACAAATTTACCAACAAGAAAAATGATAATAATAATAATAATAATAATAACAGCATCAGTATCATCATCATCATCATCATCATCAACAACAACAACACCAACAGCAGCAACAATAATAATAATAATAATAACGATAACAAGCAGAAGAAAAAGAAGAATGATATAATAATAGATATTGATGTGGGGCCAAAGTCGGGACCACAGAAGTAAAACACGGAACACGAATTAGATGCAAGAAAGATATATTAACAACAGGTTACAGAGATAGTGTAAGCGGAGCTTACTATATGTTAGTGTCCAATACTATCTCACTGTCTCTCTATCTCTCTGAAGTGTTGTGTCGCATACTTAATATAGACCTGGAAGAGTCTATTGTGTAGGTAGTTCCGGTCTCACAATACCCCCCTTTCAAGAGTTTTCTTTTTGAAAAGGAGAGAAAAAATAAAACTGTTAATACTTTTTATTCTTGGGATTTACGTCGAGCGGTTGAGAAAATTTCCTTTTCCTTCCTGAGCATCGCACTTCAGGGGAGACTTGGTGCGTGTCGCGATCGAACTAGAGATCTTGATGTGTGAGCCACAGCTTTTTGCGAACCATCTGGCAGTTTATGTAAAATGCAAGCACCAATGCCGTACGAGCTTGCATCACTTGCGACTATGATGTCGAGACAAGGGTTGTAATGGGTGAGGGAGATGTCTGAAGTAAGAGTTTTCTTGATCTTCTCGAATGCGCCTTGGCATTCCAGGGTCCATAACCATGGTTTGTCCTTTTTTAAGAGTTGGTTGAGAGGCCCTTTAAAATTTTGCATGTCCTTAATGAACGCTTGGTAAAAGTTAGCTAGGCCGAGGAAGTTTTGTAACGCTTGAACGTTATCTGGGTCCGGCAGATTTCTGATCGCGTTGGCTCGAATTGATTGGACTTCTTTTTACGTAGACCGTAGGTGCTGCCCACTCGCTGCAATCTGTTTTTGACAGAATACCTGCTTGTTCGAGTCTATCTAACACTTTGTTGATTTGCTCTAGAGCGAAAGGGACATTCCGTTTCTTTTTTGAATACCGGTTGTGCACCGTCCTTCACCTTGAACTTAGCTTTCATTTTAGTACATTTCCCAAGGCCGCCAGAAAAAACCTGGGGAAATTGTTGTTTGAGTTCCTTTTTTAGATTTACCAAATTGGACGTTGTACTTTGTATCTTGCGACAAAAATGTACTCATTGGGCGATCCCAAAGATTGAATTTTTCTATCCAATCTGTTCCAAATAAGTTATCTGAAGTTTTCAATACGTAGGTTTTGAGCTTTTGGTAACTCCATATAGTGTTATTGTAATTATTACCTCGCCTAAAATGTTAATCTTTTCGCCAGTTACGGATTTTGCTGTTTTATCCGTTTTTAATAAGGTCGGCTTGTTTCATTTTCGCCAAGTACGCAAGTTAATGGTTGAAAGATCGGAACCTGAGTCAAACTGGAATTTAATAGACTTATTGAAAATATCCAGTTACATATTTTCTTAAATTCCTATCGACAATATTGTCAGATTGAGCCTGCCTACTTTTATTTTGGGTTTTCTCGTTCTGTTGGCGTACCAGCACGAAGTTAAAGTATGCCCACTTTTATTTCAATTTTTGCAATATTTTTTGTTCTTAACTGAATAGAATTTCATCCAATGCCATTTACCACAATGGTAACATGGCCCGGCGGTTTCTTTAACCTATTTGGGTTTTGGTTACTGCGTAATTTAGGACATGAGATTTGCCTTTTGTCTTTTTGAGTGGAATAGGAGGTAGACTTGCTTCTGATTTTATTAATCTGAGACACACCTTATTCCTCGATAG